TGAAATCCAAGCTTCATGACAGCCTGCTTGTGCTGGCCATCTGTTTCCAGGTATTGTGATCAGTACTGTTAGACCAAGACAGTCCAGAGACCATTGGAAGCAGAAGAATTCACAGTAGCATTAGCTCCAACTGCACAACTGGTATAAGCATCCATGGAAAATGTGGAGCATCCCAGTAAAGACAAAGTGAATGTAGGGATTTTCTGACCGAGAACAAGATTCAAACTACAGGTTGCACACACTGTTCTATTAACAAAAAGCGAAAGGCACAAAGAGAATATGAGACATCAATTAAAAAACAATTCACCACATCTTTCTTATTCTTTTGTTCACTCTAGAAGAAATGTGGTGGAAAGTAACTCTGAGCATGCCAAAATATTGAGATCTTCTATCTACCTCTAACATTCCAGCATACGTATGATGATGTATGAAAAGAAAAATATAATCAGGAAAAATTCAGTAGAAAATACTATGTTCAACTGACAGCGAAATGAACAGGCACCAAGAGTAACTGATTTTGTTCTCCTTTTCCCTTATTTTGCTACCTCATAAAGATGTTTCTGATTTCTCCCACATGAGGGAGCCAAGTTGTTGCACAAATTTTTGCACCACTAGCATTTTATCCAGATTGCTTCATTTTTAGCAGCTGACAGGTTCTCTCATAATGTAAAGTCAGCTAGGAGACAAGCAGCAAGAAGACAGACTCAAAAATCTGGTATGTCTGAGAGTGAGATTCAGGTTTACAGATAAAATTCTCACTACTGAGAACTCTCCAGTTTTTCCCCCACGCACATGTAAGTATTTTTTCCACTTCAAGACTCTCAGGCTTTGCATACAACAGGAAATTAAATTCTATTAAATGCAAACTTCAGCCTCCAAAACCTGCCTTATGGTCTCCCTCCCACCCCTAACTTCCAATACCAAGAAAATATAAACAAAATCCATGAATTCTCTTTTGTATGCACTTCTTGTAGTAGTTCCAACCCTTCCAGGCCCTTGTGTAGTCAACTGCTTCAACAATACTGCTGCAGCGCCTGCTGCAGTAACTTATACTTTCCTGTTCTTTCACCATTCAGCTAATGGATTGAAACAGGAGCAAAGGTGTTTTGACATTCGTTTTAATACCTGGGCACGTCAAGATAACTTTTTGTCTGTGTTTATTTTTGTTTGGGAGAAATTTAGCCATGCAAGAGACACCTGAAAAGTAATTAAATTCTACTATTTTCATATTTTTTTGAAAAGTTCTGTACTGTCCATCCAAACAACTTGATTCACATTCCTCATTGACAACACAGAAAAAAGAAAAAAAATATTGTGGGACTGCTTGTTTATCACAGGTTGGAAGCCAAGAAGACAAAAAATGGCTGTTTAACTAAACTCGTACCAAAAGCAGCACTTCTTTGTTGTCAACTGTTGCTAATGTACAAGCCCTTGCACATCTTGACGTCATACAATGAGGCAATTTAATTTGCAAGTGTCAGTGATTAGGTTTTTCACAAGGCCACAGAGAAAACCCAGAGGCAAGTTCAAAGTGTCACTAAGAATATTCTTGGTGACATTTTTTATCCATTTTCAGAGACAGTATCCCAAACTAGGCCAACATGCTTCAGGCAATGACAGGAAAGATTCATGACGTGGGAATGAAAAAGAATGAAGAAGGAACATTCATAGGCTAAATCTTACCTACACAGTCATAATGGTCACTGATGTATTTTAGTTCATAACCAAGCTGGCACTTGCAGTAGTAGCTTCCAAATGTGTTGACACATCTGCGGTTGTGAGAGCAGACAGTCTTGCCAGTAGAGCATTCATCAATGTCTAGAGCAGGAGAAGTGATGCTGATCAGATCCACAAGAAGGTAAACCGGGAAAGCAAGAACTAGTCAGGATTTGCACAGGAATGGTTTGGTCTTGGCTATTACAAGTTGTTCAATAAATAAGTCCTGTAATTTCACAGTTGGGGGTGGCATGTGCTCATATGAATGAAGCAGAAAAATGTGAACTAACTTTGTGGAAAATTTTGAGACCTGGTATGGTAAAAGCAAAAGTAGCTGGCAGTGGGAATTCTCACCACTGGGGACAATGATTTCGCCTAAGGTCATGGAGCAGGGTCAGGAGGAACTCCACAAATTCCATTATTTCCCTAAGAAAGGAAATGTCAGATAATAGTTTAAGAGAAAGCCTCAGAAACAGGAAACCTCGAGCAGCAGCAGCTTTTCTACTGAATCTCTGCACTTCCCCTTGCTGGGCTGAGTCAAGGCATAGCAGGGAGAGAGTTTCCAGACTGCGAGTGGTCTGTCCAGCAAGGTAGATGATAGGGACAGATGTTTTGGAGAGAGAAGGAGATGGCTTGGAGTTGGAGAAGCCTAAGAACATTATCCAACAACTGTTGTAATTAAGTGTTACTGATTTGATTTGGTTTGTTGTAATGTCAGATTTAAAATAGTGCCAATTATGATATTTGGCATTTGTCCTTCCCTACCACACTTTAGCACACAGCAATGACTTTGCACGTAATTCATGGTGCCACGGCGCTGCCCTTTACAGCTTAGAACTGCTATGAAGTGCTGCTGGACACCACGGTCGGTCTTTTTATCATTTCTACCATTCTTTTAGAGTGCTTAGGTGATCAAAGGCAAGTGGACAACAACAGAAAAATATTTAAACAAACTTGCAGTCCCTACACATTTCTGATGAGGATGTCTGTTCCCTAGCCTCCAGGGTATTCCTAGGCATCTCCAGCTTCTCATTTCCCCATGTATCTGCCAGGACCACAATCTGCCACAAGCTAAAGGACAAGCTTGCTGCATTCGATCCTAGCGTAAAGCTTATGTCTGCAGTGAACACTAAAGACTCACTGTACTCTGAGAAAAAAAGGATTTACGTTTAATTAAAAATATTGATCTATAATTGTTTTTTTTTTTCCTTTACCTATGCACATGTAGAAGAGGAAGAGTGAAACACATCAATGTGCTGCTCTGCAGGTCCAGAAATAATGTAGCTTCTTAGGAGAATTAAGCTAGGACTAATAGCCAGGGATCTTCAAATGTTTATCTGTTTATAGTGTGACTAATACCAGTACCCATCCAAACACAACCCCCAAATCCTCTTATGCATTATGCCAGTAAGATTCCTGCAGGCAAAACATAGTAGACCTCAGAACACTAGAGAGAAACTGAAGCTGTTAATGACTCCAAATTATGTCAAAACATTTAATTATTTATTGGGGATGTGACTCACCCAATCATGGCCAATAATACAAGAACAATTTTTTTAAAAAGCATGCAAGCTTTGCATCATACTGGAAGTAAGAAAAAGCATTATTCAAGCCAGTGAGGAGAGCTAACTACTGATTAACCTTTCCCCAGACTCTTTAAGTTTTTTGAGATCCTACAGAAAAGAAGCTGAGAGTGAGCTCTCTAACCATACCAATGCACGTCCTTCTGTTTGGTCCCAGCTGAAGGCCACCTGATGGACAAAGACACTGTACCTCCCCTTTGACTTCTTGACATCCATATTGGCAATTCACCATGGCACATGTCCTAGAACCTGAAAACAGTATTTAAAATAACAAAAAGAACAAAAATCTAGGTTAGGTTCTCACACTTAAGATTTAGGTCTGGATGAATGCAGAAAATTAATCAGAACAACAAAATTCCATTCATCATTAATCAAGCTGTTCATACATTAACATATTAACAATTCAGCAGTCCATGACATAGATCTTAAATTCCCTCTCCCCTTCGCTTTCTTCTTTCCTTATCTGCCCTTATTCCTCTTTTTTCCTCTGTTTCCATTTCTGCAACTTCTTGCTATCGCTTTTTTGATTCAGAGATAGGATCGCTCAAAGTAGAAGCGGAAGTTTTTCACATTTTTCCATTGTGATGGTTTTACCATACAGAAAACTGCTATTTGGTAGTGAAATGTTTTAGTTGCTTACCATTAAACATGCTTCTAGTATAGAATTTGATTTTTAAAACTATTTAGCCTGATAGACTTTGAAATCGCCCTTTATTTTGGTCCTTTATGGAACAGATAGATTAATCAAAAAAGGCACTACCCAGAATACAAGTCTCGATTGCCACAGATGGATTAGGAGTGTGTATTATTGGAGATGACTTTGACTAGCCTCTAAAGAGAAATGTAGGGGTCTAGATCTTGTCTGAGAGACCTATGAGGGGTTAGAAAAGTAGGAGAAATGTATTAAGTATGTAGGGAGATATTTCTAAAATGCTGAAGATATCCAGAGAGCATTAGAGTTATGATGCCAGGGACAGAAGTAGTATTTGGAAGTGTTTATTGGAACAGATGGAGATGTGTGCAAAGAAAGTATTTCCAGCTACTTTGCTCTGGCAGTGTTGAGGGTAACAGAACTGTATATAGGTTCTTTGTAAGTGAAAAGCCTGGAATGGTTGTCAGTTTATTAGAGACAGAAACTAACTAAAAGAACTTGAATACTGGCTACTGCTTGGGTAGAAAAAGATATGAATTCTATTCCAAAATGCAACATGTTTACTGTCAGAGTTACCAGCAGTTTCAGAATGGTGGATAACAACAGAGTGTATAGAAAAGACAATGATGTGTGCAGGCGCACATATAGCTACAGCCATATTATTTGTGATTTGAATATAAAATATAATACATGTTAGTTCTTTGTGCTATTACAATTAATCTGCTTAATCTATGCTAAAATTATTTTTCTTAGGCTGGTTTGTTTAGACTCTGTGGATTAGTGATAAATATTCAAGGCCAAGAACTCACTTGCAAAAGCATTTTACTTTTGTATGAATGAGGACATACGCAGTAGCAGGAGGTAAGAGCTAAAAAAAGACAGACTAAATCATAATACTTTGTCACATTATCTACTTCCTTAGCTGCAATAAAGAAACTTATTAAATGTTATTCTTCTCTCACTGGTAATCATCTGTTTTCTCTTTTGTTTAAAACTCCTGTTCCTGACTTTGGTTAAACATAATAGCTTAGATGAACTGCTAATCATCAGATCTAGTATAGGAATTCCTGCAGATTTTGAGTGATTTTGTGTTAGGTACTAACCTACTAACTATTCTAAGCAATGGTTCTCTGGGCCCCAAAACCACATTCTTCTGATACCCTTCTTCCAACTCCACAGCCCCTTGGTGTGGTTGCAGATAAGTCTGACTGCTCAGACTAGGACTTCATCTGGCAAAGGAGACTTACATCATGGAGAATTTGATTCAAAAGAGAATCAAAATGTTTGCCTGTATAAAATGCTGAGATTCTACAGTTGGTTAAATAACCTAGCATTTCCTCCAAGCATAAGCTTAAGTTAGCCTTAAGTGAAATAAGAAGCTAGTAGACTTAACCAAGAAAGACTTCTACATGAGTAAATATTTTACTATTTCATTTCATAATCAAAGTTTCTGGTTAAGAAAATAAAGGCTCTTCAGAACTGGAAGGTGCCAGATGGGTTGGGTTAATGAAGCACAAGCTGGATGCACAAAAAGGTTTTTGCCTCCTCAACTAGAACTGTGAAGAATGAAGACTTCCCTTCTGTGGGAAACCTTTTTTTCTCCCCTGAAATCTGGTTTCATTCTGTGTCAGTGTTTGTTGGGGTTCCACTGAGAAATAACATTTCCATGTGCCAAAGTGAAACGCAAGCTTCAGGGCTCACAGCTGCTCAGGCAATTTTTTCATATATACTTGACACTGGCCACTGCTGCCACTGAGAAATTCAGCATTTTGTGCTGGCTCAAGTAAGGGATGGTGGAACTGTGCATTTGGTACAAATGCAGAGTTTCTTACATCAGGAAATCAGTTCTGAACTAAGACTGGCTTAAAAGTAATCCAGCGGAAATGGTCAGTAACAACCTGGATCTAGTTTTCTGACTTGGTTCAGAAGCATGACTGCAGCGAGCATTTGTGCTCAGAGCAGTGGGAGCGAGGGATGGACGGGACAAAGCTGCTGCCGCGCTCAAAGAGAAGCAAGATAGGGTTGGTTTTTGTGACTGTAGTTACAGCTTCTGCCAACTTCAGCTGTCCATAAGACGGTGGCCTTACTGAAAACTGCTTGGCGTATGATGTCAGCAGATACACAAATTATCTTGGAAGAAACTGAAGGAGTATATATCCATTTCTCAAGGATCTCAGGGCCCCGCAGCTGTTGTCTGCTGGTGATACCCACACCATGATTAGTAACGCAGAGGCACAACCCTGAGCTGCCATGCAGGAGAGGGAAACCCTCCAAAAGCTCTGGCCCCAGGCACCTTTTGCAGCAATTTCAGTCTCCCTGCCGTAAGAGAGAGAGAGTAGGAGCTCTGGCTTTTCTGCCTGCCCCAGAGCTGCAGACCCTGCACTCTTGTGTTTGTCAAGGCTGACAGCAAACTGACAGCAAACTTGCCAGATGGACACCCTGCCTGGTGCATGATTGTATCCAAGGTTTGAAGGTCAAAGCCTGTCAGAGTTTATGGTTCTCTGTCATATCCATGGGAAAGATTGTGCTGCACCCCATACAGCTAGATCCGTTGCTTTAGGACAGATCTCTCAAGCAGATTGTTCCACTGCTGAGACCAGCTAGCTTCCTTGTCCAACGGACGCATCTGCTTCAGTACAGTGGACTCCAGAAAGGGCTGTCACCATGTTACCTAGAGTTTTGTGAAATTCGAAGCCAAAATACCTGTATGGAACCGCTCAGGTGAGGAAAAAAAAATATTTTCTATAAACAAAACAGTGTCATTAAAAAATATGAAACATCCTCAGGTCTGAAAAATCAGGTTGGCTAAGAAAGCAGAATACTTTCCATTACATGCTGGCTTAAAGACAAAGAAAATAGGTAGAAATAAAGTTTAGACAAGCCTTAGCTCAGTGAAAAAAATGTTTGCAAGAAGCTGGCAGCAAGTGTGGGAAGCATATCACTGCTCAGAGAAAACAACTGAGTCAAGGAGCACAGAAAGGTAAAGCAAGGAGTAATGGCATGAAATTCAGCACAGTATAACAAGTAGTCTGTATTGGTGCTTTGCTTGGATAGATTCATTCATCCTTATTCAACAGATGAATTGGCAGGACTGTACACTGAGGTTATACTAGCTGCTCTTCACCTGAAGTAATGCTAACGAAGATCTTTATTCTAGCAGGACAAAAATTCCTCTGAACACCAAAATACAAGTATGACCTAGTTTACTTTATCCATATACTGCCAAACAGAAAGCCTCTTTCAGCTGCTGACGGTACCAGATAGCTGAGGTAAAGACCCTATCTTGAATAAGCTAAATCCACTCATCACAAGAAGAAAATCTGCGGGGATCAAATGCGATTAGATGATTTTGGTGTGCCTGCCCTATCAGCTCTATTACTTACTTGCACATGTGCCATCTGGCATAAGCATGTACCCGTTGAGACAATAGCACTTGTAGCTGCCATGCGTATTCATACATCTGTGTTCACAGGGACGTGGTTTCAGCCCGCATTCGTTCAGATCTGCAGAAGTCATTGGAATGAAGAGAGTGCTGGGTTTATATACATATATTCATGCATATAGGTGGATAATATTGTCTAATGCCTTGAATTCCCCACAGTAAAATCGTCTGGATTGAAAATGAGCCAGCCCCTTGCAAGATGAGAGTTTAGCAGGCCATCTGGCTGAAAGACTGCTAGCAAAACTAACGTACACAGACTTCTACACCTGAAAAACTAATGCAAGCTCTGGCCACATCTGGCAGCTTGTTAGAAAGAGGTGGAGGAGTGGGGAGAGAACTGCAGTTACTCTACTTTCTGGATTGTAGCTGGAGATTTCAGTCCTCCAGCTGACCTCTCTACTAGAAAGGCAAAAATGTGAGACTAAGAACAGCAAATCAGGTTGAGACAAAGTGAAACAATGATTTTCTCTCTTTTTTTTTTTCTCTGAACTACACATTGGTACCAAGGTTATCAGGGCAGGGCTGTCTAGTAGAGATGGAATACAATATACGAGAATTGTGTGACTTTAAGAATAAAAAGACAAATCTCAAAAATCTCAAAATCCTGAGAACAAAAGCATCCTAAATCATTCTTAAAATCCAGGATTTAAAGGGCTTTGTGGAAGCTATATGAACTTCAAATTCGCAATAGCTATCCTTCACAGGGAGAAAACCAGAATCCTAAAAAGTTTGATTTGTGAACTGACAACTTCACTTCTTGTGTTTTGAAACCTAATTAGTAAACAGACAGAACTCATTAACAGAATGCATCAGTGCACGCAGCCCATTCAACATGTGTTTAATGGCACATATGACCAATAATATAATTTCAATAAAGATGCAACTCTCCAAGAACTGATCTTGTGCAGCTCCACTTCTAATGAGAGAAGCATCTGTTCTCAGGTCTATGTACCCTTTAGACCACAGAAAACACTCCAGACCATTCGAAGCATGAACTTTGCTGTGGTTATACATGTGCAGAAGTGTTTGTTACAACTCAATCCAGGCAGGAAAAAGAGGGTTGCATTCTATTATATAAACATAGGGTCTGTTTGAAAAAAGGACAACCTATCAGCTTGCAAATCACATGAGGGTTTTGTGCTACTGTGGCTCCACTAAATAACCAAGACTTTCTTAGCAATGAAACTGGAAGAGAACAAAAGTTATTCCACTTAGGCCACACATTTTCAAAAGTGCTTAGCTGCACCTATCTTGCACAATGCATAGTAATGCACAGATAACATACATGGCTCTAAAAGAGAACCTATGGAGATAAGGCTAATTTAGCTTAGACTTGGTGGCAGACTAATACAGTCCCCTTATCTCTGTTATTTTAGTCAGCTCATGTTGAGCTTTCGCAGCAGGGCATTCTGCTGTAAGGACAGACCAAGTCTACATCTGCCAGTAAATCAAAAGTCGGTCTGAGGATTCCTGGCTGCTGGAACGTGACCACCTATATGGCTATACTATTGAAATAGCTCTGGGATATTTCTGGCCTGTGCCAGCCACCACTTTACTGAAAGATTCCTGGCCATTCTTCAGAAGGTAGAAGAGTCCAAGGAGCTAACAGGCAGTTTGCACATGTAGGTCTGTGCGGTACTTCCACCAAGCCTCAGACTTTGAATCTACTGCAAGTGCGCAGAACTGATCTGCTTGTGTACGGAGGGCGTATCAAATCCAGCTGGAGTTACTGCACAGAAAACACCTAAAAGCTGAGGGCTTCTCTGTTGCCTTTTGGTAACATTTAAGATGTCAAATAACTTTTGAGGTCAAATTTCTGGATTTAGAGGATAAAGTTGTAAGTGATACCTACATATCTATTACAACCACGCCTGCTGTTTCACTTTCCTCTCTAGTGGTACTGAGGAATTGACTTCTTTCCCTGTAAGCAACATCAAAAGTGCAAAAAATAGAGTTTTCCAAAATACTTAACAGTATAGCATATTGTTTGAAAGATACTGTGTAATAAATGGGTTGTTTTGACTCTGAAAAATGTGGTTTTAGCATGTCAATGTAACATTTTCAAGAAAAGACTGCAGGTGCCTAGGAAGCTAGCAAGGATAGACCCATGCATTTGTGTGGCCTTTATATCACGCTTCCCTCATAGCACCTGCAGTTCACTCATCTGCAGTGCAGCAGGATGGCCCCTCTCCATGCACAGTGACCTGTTCCTTTCATCTGTTCCAACACAGGGGTCTTATACATTGGAACAGGAAAAAAAAGCTGAGTTCTCACCAATGTGTTAGTTAAAAAATTTCCATGTCTAATTGCAAGTTTATGGAGGGAAAGTGATGTATTCAAAGTTTCTGAATATGCAATTCTAAAGACTCTCAATTCCATGTTCTCAAAAATACCAACCAGCATATGCAAACAGATGGCATTGGCCCAGGCAGCTTGAGAAATTACATGTCTAGCATATAATTGCGAGTCTTTCTGATGAGGTGGTTAGATAAGAAAGTAACATGGCCTGCTAGTTAAGAAAATAACAAGGGTTCTGGATTTGAATTCCAGCTCTTCCCATAATTTCCTATATAATCTCTCCATTCCTTAATCCTGTGACTATAAATATGACAGTTTGCCCTTGTTGTCAGCCTGCAGGAGATATATTATACAAATTCATACTTCTGTGTGCTGAAGGAGGCTTAGAGCTTGCTTGGGAAGCTGGAGACACAAGAGCCTTAAACTCTAAGCTCTTTAAAGCAAACAACAACATATCTTGTTTTACTATTTTGGAAGATGACACAATCCACAGTACAAGATAAGGAGGCAGAACATCAACGATCTGCTTTCTGAAGTAATATCCCAATGTGCACAAACCTTGATTACAGGTTTTCCCTGTAAATCCAGGGAAACATTTGCATTTGTTTGGTCCCGTGCACTCGCCATACTTGCAGCCATGTCCACAGATAGCTGGAGGAGTCAGGCAGGGAAAGTAGAGAGAAAAAGAAAAAGTTAGATATACTCTATTTGAGAGCTTTGGCCCTGCTCAGTTGCCTAAAAACTTGTTGCACAAGGTCGACATCCTCCATACCTCTCCCTCTAGTTTGGGCATGGTAGCTACTGATCAGAATTTTATTTCTGCGGAGAAAAGTGACACTAGTATGGCTTACACAAGTGTATGCTTTTCCAGGTTTGTTAAGACCTGGAAAAGAAGGGTCTCCTTTTAGCTCTCTCCCTCATGCTTTTTCTGCCATGCTTACAATTCACTTTTAGTTTTGTACTCTTGCTTTTTTTCCTATTAAGAAGCCTATGTGAGACACAGCTAGCCAGCAGTTTGACATGCTATGCTCAGCATCTGGAGTAGGAAAGAGGCAACAGCTCTCTCCTGCAGCCAAAGGAGACACATTACGCTACAGCAGTTTTCCACTCTTG